CATATTAATATAAATATAAAAATAATTTATATATATATATATACATATCATACACACACACACACACACACCATGAGATTTTATCGGCAGTGTCAGAAAATGGAACTTGGCGCTACTTAGTTCCAACATACTAAAATAAAACTGTGGTGCTAGTGTATGGAGAGTTTCGACGGTCCCACGAAAAAGGCTGGGATGGCCGCTTTCAGGTTTCTCTCTGGAGCCACAATCAATTATACATGTGCCTTTATGGCTCTTATTTGTACTTTCCTGATCTATACTGAGATATTAAAATTTTTTTCTAATTAAATGACATATATGTATTAATAAAATAAATTGTAAATTTATATCAGTACAGATACAATCAGAAAATAAAACGTGCATTATAGATCATCAATAGTCAAGAATTATGGTTCTTACAATTGAGCTCTATAGTATACTGGAGTGAGCCTTCCCTATACTAAACTATACTAAACTATAAAAAACCGCGGCCCAGCGGAGAAAAGGACGGGTATACTAAAGTTGGAATCTTTATCTCTTTTCTACAGTGTACTTATTGGTTAACCTTATGGTAGGAGAATAATATTAACCAATCCGAGATCTTTTGACAAAGAGAGCGATATCAATTCGCACGTTGTCTTTTAGTAGTGAGATATCTCCATTCCTTGAAGGCTCATTCCAGTATATTATAGAGCTCAATGGTTTTTACATATCAGATATAACAGCCTGGCAATACGATAATATAATGGCCAATCACCATTTTGCTTTGCTGGTAATATTAGGGTTGTGTTACAATATAACTATAACATATTGCAAATCTATAATTTACATCACGTATACTGTAGATTTTCAATGCTAGCAATTTATGTCGGAAGCATGTTAAACCATTGATTAATGAATTTTTTTATTTTTGTAATTTTCACTTTGCTATGGTCCATTTAGCGCTACAAAAGCTTCGAAGCGTTTGATTAACCAATCAAAACAAAGAATTCTATGAATTGACCAATCATAAAATGCTTCGAAGCATTTGTAGCACCAAGTGGATTGCATCTTTGTTCCAATATTCACAATCGACCCTATATTTTGAAACTAAGCGAAAATTGCAAACGCAGAAGAAATTCACTAGAGTATCTGCGATTTTATATGTCGAAATCTAGTGAATTTTCTCGCTTTTGTAATTTTCACCTTGTTTCAAAATACAGAATCGATTCTCCAGTCTATGCATCCTATATCTATGGAATGATATTCACTGCCTGCTGCTTGCTGCCATTCTGGCATTACGTCAGTGGTTGGAGGTCCTATTGGTTTTGGGAGGAGTTACCGTGACCGCCATTGTTAAAACTCTTCGTCATATTACGGAACGTATTGTGAATCTGATTTATCCGCATTTCTCATAGCTCATATCGAGGCCGTGGAACCGTTTTCCGAGTGTATCTTACGAGTGTGGACCATAGATAGACTTATCAGCCAACGCATTTTCAGCGTAGCATGTCCACGATGAATCCCGAGTAGTGAGTAAACTTCCTTTTGCGCAGACATAAGTGTAACGGATTTGCCACTACGCATCGACTATCAGGCGATAACATGGACGTTTCCTTGATGAGAAAACGTGTTCGTTATCGTTCATGTAAAATCGTTCCTTGGACGTGGACGCAAAAAAACATATCCTTCGATCGTCACCATCTGACAGATTTACCCTTCCCTCATCATTTCCCCTACTACTTGAAACATGGCACTCTTGTATCGTAATCCGTATTTCAATATTCTGTACCGTACTGTTACATTTTCTCATACGTGCTTTGAAATCTCTGACCTTGACTCTTTCTCCATTACAGCCACAAGGAAATTTGAGCAAATATACCGAACGAATCTAGAGTGCCTTTTGGAATTTAAAAATTTTACTTTAGACTTGTTTTTCATTATTATGTTGAACTGAACTAAAATTTTCTCTTTTTTGTCAAGCTTCAGATATATATCTATTTCATTTTAAGTACAAATATATATCAATTTAGCTACAAAGAATAGATCTTTTATAAAATGATTTTTCTAATTGAGTTGATTATAATTTTAAAAACTATTTGATGATAGCATAAAGTATAGCAGCAAGATGCGAACAGTAAACTAATTGACTAATCATAAATTAATTATTCTTGGAAGAATCCAATTGATCAATTTTCTTATTGTCTTGTTGAATACTTTACGTTATAAAGTAGCCTTTCTTTAAATAGAAAATTACATTATATTGTTTTTCTATTTATAAGAACAGTGATAAATTTATAATGTGACATCAAATTATTTTTTTATTTCAGCGATTATCTATTTAAATTGCTTCTAATCGGAGATTCTGGTGTTGGAAAATCCTGTCTCTTGTTGCGTTTCGCCGATGATACATATACAGAAAGTTACATCAGCACTATTGGCGTAGATTTTAAGATTCGAACTATTGATTTAGATGGAAAAACGATAAAGTTACAAATCTGGGATACGGCGGGTCAAGAACGGTTCAGAACAATTACAAGTTCTTATTATCGTGGTGCGCATGGTATTATTGTTGTTTATGACTGTACAGATCAGGAGACTTTTAACAATGTAAAACAGTGGTTGGAAGAAATCGATCGTTATGCCTGTGATAACGTCAATAAATTGCTAGTTGGCAATAAATGCGATTTACATACTAAAAAAGTAGTAGATTATACAACAGCCAAGGTAAACATTTATACTTGTTTCTTTCTCAATTCTGTATAATTTATTTAAATTTACTACAATCTCCTTATATTTCATTGTAAACAGGAATATGCGGATCAACTTGGTATACCATTTTTGGAAACATCAGCAAAAAATGCAATGAATGTAGAGCAAGCTTTTATGACAATGGCTGCTGAAATAAAACTTAGAGTGGGTCCACCATCAAGTGGAGCAAGTGATCCAGCCAACAAGGTGAAAATAGAACACGGGCGTCCAATTGAATCTTCTAAATCTGGATGTTGCTGAGAAATATAATCTTGTGTCTCGTTTAACCAAAGTAAGTGGAATAATAAATTTGTCAACTTGTTTTGTGAATCTAATTGTAAGCATGCATGGAGTGAATGTTATTAAAAAGATGCAATAACAATCTTTTTTTTTTTTTATAGAACATCCTATGGTTGCGGTCCGGGCACTGCAAAATTAAACTTATTACTGGAAGTATAAGAACATACATGGAAGTTTCAGTTTTGCCCCAACAACAAAAAGGGAAAAAAATCTAACACACTCATGGACCACCAACTCTTCTCTGGAGTTGTACGAAACTCATGTTCGCCTGCTCTAAAATTCCGTTTTTGTAGTTATCTTTCTTTCCAAAGAAGAAAAAGCGTGGTTAATCAACGTCATTTTCTAGTATCGAATTTGACTTAAGATAAATTTATTGAATTAGTATTGATGATATCGAGCGAGTGTAGGTATGCGTGTAACGGAGACAACTCGGTCTTGAAAAGTAAATTGAATATTACTGCGTATGGTGGTTGTTAAGATAAGCACTTTAATTTTCTTTTTTAGCCTAATTATAATATGTACAATAGAGTATGTGTTTGGCTCTATATATATATATATATATATACATATATATATACACATACATACATACATATAGCCGTTTCTACTCCTCTATGTAATAGTCCAAAACACTCCCATTTTTCGTTTCGTTTTCTATTCTGTAGATATGCAGATGGTTAAATCATTTTTTTCTGGTGGAATTACATGAGCAATGCACTTGTTCTTTTCTTTTCTCTATAGTTAAATATATGCGTATATGCATACATACATACATACATATATATATGTAATGTAATTTAATAAGTATTTAAACTTAACTCTAGGAACATTTACGTGGCATACCTCTGTACAAACATACATAATGTAGACTGGTATTCAGTGAGCTCTTATATTTAAAACTGTCTTAGATATCTACTTAAGATATCATAAAACAATTACAGAGCTGTGTTAGTATCTTAAGACATTGTTTTAAGATAGTTTTAAAATAATGAGTTATGAATACGATTGCTATACATATTTATTTGTATGTGTGTATGCGCATGCGCGCGCAATATAAAACAGAAATGTCACTCGCATGTACTAAATCGAATGAAAGAAAGCGGAATCTTCGTTTGCATCTTTGAATTTTATCATTAATTCTCGTCATACTTTTTTATAATTCAGATACAATTCGAAATTCAACAAATGAATCTGCAAGTTAAAGTTGCAGTTCTGAAGAGAAAATGGAAATATTTTATACAAAAGTTAAAAAAAAAGATTACAATTACTTGTAACCCAAATTGTAGCTTTGTATTGTGAAAAAGCTATTTATGACGGGTATACGATATAATGGCATTCGAAAAGTTATAAATATTTAATAGCAACTGTAATTATATAAAATATATAATAATAAACAATTATCTAACGGAAGTCGCATTCTTTAAATTGGGGTATCATTGGGATATAATTTGTTTTGATAAGCATATAATGTGTTTGCATATGTATGTATGTAGATATATGTATGTATAATATCTATTCATTAATGTTATAAAACTAGTAATTGAAAACTGTAAATAATAAGACTTGAGCAGTAATGAATCGGTCAATCAAGATAAAAATTATCGAAATTATTGTTTTAAAACTCATAATTTTAATTGGTTTAATTGTTTTAATTGGTTTAATTTGTTCACTGCTTAAGTCCTACTACTTGCATTTTTTATGAATCATTAGCCTATCTTTAAGCGCAGAAAAGTGTAAGCGAAAGAAACAGTATAAGGTATGTTCCATTTTGTATCCATAACGTTCTCAATATTATTTTGTTATCTATCGAATGTGCGTATATGAAACAAGGGCTGTTTATGATGCTGCAAATGATGCTTATGAGTATTGCAAGCATCAAATAGAACATATCGGATGGAGTACGTCTTGTTTGATTATATGATGATTGAGTCCATTTGAGAGCGTTCTGTTTGAGCACATTGCAATTGGACACAGTCACTTACGGCAACCGATATCTGGAGATTTTTTACTGGATCAAAAATTAAAAATTTTTTTAAATTTTATTTTAAATTGGCTAATTGACAACGTGGCCAATCGGGCGCCATTCAATTCACTTATTTCGCTGCTTAAGAATTTGCTATTAAATCACATTAAAACTACATTACAATATTCACTGTCAATACTGAAAATATATAATTCAGGTCACGTATATTATAGATTTTCAGAACTAGTAGTGAATATCGGAACATAGCCTAAAAAAAATTTTTCTAATATTCAATCAAACATTATCTCGTGAGTGACACCGTGGTCTAATTTCCACTGATGTCTTAATTCGCTCTTAATACGACATAGAACCAGATTTGAATCGATAGAAATGTAACAAATTGCGCTTATTTCAATCTTGCTTCGATCCACAAATTTTATTGGCAGCGAACTGATACAAGATTTAATCGATGAAAACGATTGAAAGTAGATAATACCAACTTTACTTTTCATAACAGTAGTAATCGTTTATTATATATCATAACAGTAATCGTTCTGTATAATTGATGATTCAACAAAATTATTTCAAAATCCATTTCTTTTACACAACTATAAGTATAACTTATATATGTATTTTTCAGAGATTATATTGTTTACATTCGACAAACAAAAGTTATGTTGATTCTACTGAAATGTTAGTCTTTCTCACTTCTACTTTATTTCCAATGGAAACAGCATATTAAATTTGATCCATAGTACCGAAATAGAATCGAATTGAAGACTTCGATGGAAACTAGACCCGTGAAACATGGGCAATTGGGTATCACTCAAAAAACGCTTCATGTAAGCTCGCATTTGGTCACATTATACCATAGACCACTTATTATTCCTTTAAATCTGATCTACAATAGATGATTTAAGCTTTAAGAAAAAAGCTGTAAGAAATTAACTAATCCCTAGTAGAAATTAGTTCCTGTAATAAGTCTCTGGACAAAGTTGTCTTCCATCCTATTGGTGTTGACAAAATATGGCGAAACCTATAAGATGTCTCCAATTTATACTTTACGCGCGGTATTATTCAAATAGTAGGAATAAAATAATATAAAAAATTTATTTTCAATAGTTTTATTTATATATAAAAATATAAAAAGTATAAGTCTATTTTAAAAAATAAATATTAATTAATAATAGCATGCCTAGCCATAGTTTTACTACTAAAAATCTTAGTTTTAGTCGTAGAGTTAAAACAATTAAGCACGCAGCAGACATTTTTTTATAAAAATTCATGTAATTTGTAATGAACATTAATACAGTATTAAAGATTAGGAATTAATTTTTATGACGACATTTATTATAATATTTATATTTTATATATTTTTTATAATATTGTATCTTTATTTTACTTGTTTATGATATATTTACCTTAACAGTATATATATTATGTATAATATGTGTATCACTGTCATACCACTAATCTTTGGGTATATTCAGAACGATAGTTTAGCTTATTTTTTTTCTAGATGTTGGCTGTCATGTAACTAAACCGAGAAGTGTTTTGAACTCATTATAACCTGCAAAAATGTCGGAGATGTTTTATTTGAAAATTCCAAGAACGTAATAATTTAGAATATTTTTGTTTCTCTTTAATCAAAAACTTTTCTGCGTATGAGAATTCTGAAAATATTAATTATAACAAAAATTTTGTTACTACAATAATTATTTTAATACTTATCATTATGAAGCTAAATCTTTTTTGTTTCATTATGAAGTAAATATTTTTTGTTACTACAAAATTATATATTTTATTACTATGCTCTTAAATTTCCAAATAAAACATCTTTGACATCTTTGCAGGTTATGATGGTTTCGGAACACTTCTCGATTTTATTACATGGCAGGCAACATTTAGAAAAAAAATAAGCCAAACTATCATTCGGTATATACTCAATGTTGATAATTCACCTCACACTCGACTGTGATTGATCAATTTCTTACGGCTTACATTCATTCACTACTGCTACTGCTTATTGTAGACCATGGCTGTGTTTCGATATTCATTGCCAGTACTGAAAATCTATAATATATGTGACATAGATTATATATTTTCAGTACTGGCAATGAATATCGGAACGTAGCCCATGTGTTAAGTTTTACTGCTTAAATTTTTTTTATGCTATGGCTCTATCCGCTCAGTGAGTGATTGAGTTTCTGAATACACCCATCATTCACAATAGCCGGTACTTAAGAGAATTTTCTAGTTAGCCAATCAGAAAATTCTATATTTGATTAACCAATCGGCAATGTGCGGATATAGTATCCCTTCCATCGTATATAATAACTGTCAATGGACAATCGCTCGACCAATCGCAGACGTGTCGCGAATGACCTGACAACGTTGCCCGCTGGGCTGCGAGCGCTGGATTCGATAGTCGTTGATAGTCGTCATTCGACTGTTCTTTCGTGGTTGGTCGTTGGTCGTGGTTTGCGTCTGACAGTGTGGGGTCAGACTGCTGCGTGATTATCCGTGAGGGCCCATTCGGGCCCGTAAAAAGGGAACGTCAAGCTTGATCGCGACCATCACAATGATACGATCAGTAACGTCATCGATAATGTGCATTTCTCGGTCGAATAAAGCAATGACTTGTATTAAGAGGATAATAACGACGACGTTACAGCAGCAACGTACTCGTTTACCACGATAGCGCGTTGCTGCCAAACGGGAAAGGAGGGTGTCAAGTTCTCTCGTTCTCGACGCGGGTGTACCGAATCGCGCGCTTTAAACGCGGCACATGCATACGTATATACGCATACGCACACAACGCACGGAATTTCAGGAGGCACATCGGAAGACAGATTATCTCATTGTCACGAGCCGTACACGTGGGAAACCGAACGCAATTTTCGAGGGAACAAATGTGAACCTTTGAACTGATCGCGTACAACAACAATACATATACGTGTATTGGCGCAACGTAGGGAAAGCGAAAGAGATAGAGAGCGAGAGAAGGAACGAGACAGACACATAGAGACGGAGTGCGAGAAAAAGAAGAGAGAGAGAGAGAGAGAGAAGAAAAAAAACGGATACAAGGCAGGCGGCGCAGTTCGGAAGTAACAGTGTACAAAGCAATTGCTGTCTGCATTTCTTTTTTCCCTTCTAAGCGTTAGAAACTCGGTGAACCGTCGTACGTCTAACCGCGGACTACACGACATCTTGGAGCGTGCGGCGGGACGAGTGAGTGCGCGAGCCGCCGTCAACATCCGTCAACGTGTGTGAAGTGGCCTGGTGTGCAGTAGGGTGAAAAAGCCAGACACACAGTTCTCTAGTGTTGCTTGGTTGCGGGCGCGGGCGCGGGCGCCGCTCGGGGCCTCGCACCGTCTCCGTCCAACCAGTTTCGGCTCCGCGGCGCGTGCCCTTTCCCTCTTGCTTTCGTCGCGCGAGCGCCGACCGTTCGCTCCTGCTCGCTCGCTCGCTCTCGCCCAGCGGAGTTTTCACTACGGCGCGCGCGACAAACACGTACGCGCGGTGTGCGTGGAGATACGCGAGAGGAACGACAGACGGACGCGACCGGCCCGTCGTATATCTGCCGGAGCGAATCGGAGAATCCCGGAGATCGTGGAAAAATTCCTAGATAATGGAGAGCTCCGCGGATATCGCGGACTGAGGTGATCGGTCGTAATTTCTTTTTTTTTTTTTCTTTCTTTTTTTTTCCCTTTTTTCCCTCGTTACACACATCTTTACGGAGAAGTGGTGGAAGTGTTCTAAACGGAAGGAGGAGCAAGCGAGAGGCAGCGAGAGAGAAGAAGAGAGAGAGAGAGAGAGAGAGAACGAGAAGAAAAAGAATAACAGATTAGGTTAGGCTAAACTCACATCCTTTCCCCTCCTCCCTCCACTCCTGCGCTGCGGCACCAGACGCTCTGTCTCACTTCGATGTGCACGCCCGCTTCCGTCTGACTTACGCACGCCTAGAGGGGGGGGGACGAGGACGGCATGATAGAGAGAGAAAAGAAGGAACTGAGGAAAGAGAGTGTGGACAGTGCGAGATTAGAGGATCCGAGGGAAAACGGCAGAAAAACACAAATGCCGATCGCCGATGGAACTCTGGTCTCTGAATCGACGGCGGCGACTCACCACGCATCTCTCGCAACTGTCATGTTACGTTTCGTCGATAGACTTTCAGGTTAGCACGAGATTACACGATTATTACACTGTTATTGCACGATTACTGCATGATTATTACAAACGAGAAACACGTTTACGTGTATCGTTTTGCATATTACATTCGATGCGAAAATTTACTTCGAACATTTCGCGATCGTTTTTTTCGTCCCAACATGGGACAAAACTTTTTTTTTCACTTCTGTCTATCGATAACGCGACAATTATCATCTAATCTTACATACCTAAAATTTTGTTGTTCGAGAATTTTTTAATCTTTTTTTTTGTACTATTAATCGTACAGTTTTTTATCATTGGGAAAAATTTTTGACTTCACGTTTATTCGAAATATTCATATATACTTTAAAAGATTACGAACCGAATAATGACACTAGTTTACAGTAAATTATTTTTAATCAGATAACCAATGTTTCTTGTAGATTTTTGGATGGCTAAAAACTATACAAGCCAAATTTTTCCGGCATATCAAGTTTCTAAAATAATTGAGGTTTAATATGCGAAAAATAATTGCTTTGGTTTAATTGCGATATTTGAAGATTTTTTTGTAAAAGGTTTAATTCTGATCAAAATTTCAAGATATCCTTAATCTTATAAAAATCTCCAATTTCTAGCCATTTTTTGTATAAACCTGTTATTTTGGAAATCTGATTTGCTGGAAAAATTTAACTTGCATCGTTTTCAGCACTCATAAGTCTATTAAAACACTTTATGTGATTCAAAATAATTAAAAGAAATATTTTTTTGTAAACTAGTATAATTGTCAGAGAAAACGTAACATGTAATATGCCACACGTTACCAGAATAGAAAAAAAAATATATCAAGTTTATAAAATCAGTTCTTTCCAATAATAGTATTTTCATCTACATTGTATCCCAAATTTCAAACTACCGACTACACGAAAGCTACGATCTATTGCGTGCTGTTAAATGTAAATGTATGTAATGAATGGAGTAGACAGAATAAAAAAGACAAGACCGTAGACGACGACGATGTAGAACTTGGGCAAGACCCAACGTCTAACGATTTTTTTCTTTGATCTTCATGAATATTTGCGATGCCATGCACCGACTACCGTCGCGTTATTATATATATATATATATATATATATATAGTCCGATTTGATTATGTGACATAATGATGATCGATGCGATCTTACAAGGACTCGAAAAAGAAAAATAAGAATAGGAACTTCAAAAAAGAAAAATAAGAATAAAAAAGAAAAGGAGAAAAATATTATGTTAAATTATACTTTTAATGAGGATACATTTTCAAGATTACATAAATTTGGATAATCCGAAAAAAATTGTGTTCGCTTTTGAATGATTAAAGATTATGTCATCAGAAAATATGTTGGCTATAACGTTCTAATATTTATTTATTTGCATCTAAATTAAGTTATACTTTCCATCTTGATAAAATTGCTACGTAATAATTATCTTAATTTTTATGCCAGATCATAGCTTATATCGAAAAGATAAAAATGTGATGGCAAACGAATTGAATAACATAATGAGTAAACGTACTCGATAGATTATTCTAATTATATTAGAATAATTATATTAGAATATTCTATTTTCGAAAAATGCGAAAGATTTATTCTACTATGCATAATATAAAGTTTTGCATATTTTTTTTATCACCACGCTTTTGCTATCTATTAAATGTTTTAGCGTAGAATTTGTACATATAGAATCTCTACCGTTTCTTTACTTATATATTATTAATTTTATCTTTTATTTGTTTTATGAATTTGGATTGTTTAAAATTGTTATTAAATATTTCAAATTGAGATTTACAGTTTTTTAATAAGCAAAATTGATATTGAAATTAAAAAAGATTACATTATATATTACTTGATAATTTTAAAACATCCAAATAAATATCCGAATCCGAATCCAATTCGAATTTCTGTAAAACCGTTTACACACGTCCTCATGCGTATGCATAGTACTAAACTAGTAATAACAGTAGAAATAACAGTACTAGTAGTACTGAATAATTCAAAAAATTATTTACTCACTCATAATATTTATTCTGAATTTAATGAAAATTCTAAGATTTTGCTCATCTTGTCTTTAGCTAATTAAACTAAATAGACAAAAAGAATAATGTTTAACAATAATATATAATGTAATGATATAAAACTCCTTAGAATTTATATAAAGCTCAATATTGCGAATATTTTGTATATCTAAAATAATTATTGTTTTATATAGAATTTAGAATTAACAATCGGCTATAAAAGATATATCAATTAAATTTATTTTTGTTCATTAATCTGCAAGAAAATATCAACGACAATTAAGATAATACATATAAATAGAACATATAAATAATATCAACATTAGATAAATTTTTAGGTTTTGCGAAGCTTACAAAAGTATCTATTGATGAGGATCTTGATATGAAATGAAATATGTGTAACGATTTATTCCTATTTCATCATTTTCTTTATATCCATTACACACACACACACACACACACACACACACACACACACACACACACACACACACACATATATAATAAAAATTTATATATATTAAAAATATATATATAAAATATATATATAAAAATTTATATAGAAAAAGGTTATAGTAAAAAGGTTGTAGAAAAAGGTTATATATTACGTATAAGAATTACTTGTTTGTAAAAAAAGTTTAAATATTTTGTTGGTCGTCACTGATATAATGTTTGCGGTAATTTTGCGGTGATACAAATTTCATTTCTACTAAGGAATTTTCCTCAATCATTAAATGAACGAAACTATAAGTTTTTTTATATATATAGTCCAGTTCAAAAACTCTATTCCAAGTGACCAGTAAATATTATGTAAGAATAAATCAATATCTTAAAGAACTGTAAAGCATGAAATTGATATTGAAAAATATGTTAAGAAACATTGATATACATCTTTTCTATTGGTTTTTAAGAATATTTTTATAACAAGAAAGTAAAAATATCGATATAAATATTTTGCTTCTAATACGCATGTACAAATCATAGTTAAAAAAATTTACATAAAGATCTTTCTTCGGATGAATTAGTGTGATAAATATTTAACACTGATTTTAATGTGAAATATTATGCAATTATTTATATGAAGAAAAACTTGTTAACTAATAATTTAAATGTGCGTTATACATTGTAAGAATAAACGGGAACTCCAAATTCTAAGACAAATAAGAGAAATAAGAGGAATAAGAGGAATTACAGAAATAAGAGGAATAAGAGAATCTATTTGTATATAAATGGCATAAAATTAAAATTAGAATTATTAGAAAAAATATAATTGTTAGGAAAGTAATAATTATGGTGAATAATTAATTGTAATGAAGTGAATCGCGAATTTAAAATTCAGTAATTTAGCGCTAATTATTTTTAAGATAGAAATTAATTTTATTTTTGATATTATTAGAATAGAATGAATTATTATTCTTAAATATTATTTCTTACACAGGAATACCCTATATTTGAAATAATTTGAAATATTCTAAATTCGTTATTAAGAATATTATTTTATTTTTGAATCTATTTGTTTTAACTTTTTCTTCTTTTTTTTTATGTCAAGTTTTTGCGATATAGATGTTTACTATACGTTATACCACTTTGCCACCACACATATTGTAAATTTTTATATATATTTTTAAATATTTCCCCTTTGATTTTCAAATTGTCTAAAACGATATTGAAGTCATGTCGATGCTTATATTATTTTTATTTTAATCATTGAGATTACAATGCAAAATCTTAAGATAAATAGTTACAGTTATAAAGGCGATTGGATTGATTCCTGATTTATTACATAATATTTTACAGATTTTATTTTCAATTTATTAAAACGTTATGCAACAAGTTGTTTTCACATAAATCAATATAATTAATAAAAATTGATGCACGTACGTATTGTTAAAGAAATCGATCTTTATGAAATATCGCATGACCGACCTTGATTTTATCAAGTTCTCGCTCAAAGGTTATTCTCTAGAATTGCTCCTACGCATTTATATGCATATTCCTCTCCCTCTCGACTATAACTTGCAAGTAATAGTATAATCGACAATCTAGAAATCATGTTTGATCAGACGTGAAACTTGCTATGCATTTCCGATAAATGATATTAGAAATATGCAAACTCATTTAACGTCACTTTTAAAAGAATAATATTGATTAATGATACAATTGGATTAATTCGATTTCTCACTTTCACTTCTCTCTCTACTTTTTTTTTTTTTTTTTTTTATCATTCATGTAAGGAAATACATATTTTCACGATAAACTAAGCTTGGATATGATGAGCAGAAAATATGAATTTATTCCGACTGCTGGATTAATTGAATAGTACCGTTAAATATAGATATTTGCTTTATAGAAGCACATAACAAGCCGCTTGATGTGTAAAGACGCCAATGGCGGATGGGCACACAGGAGGGTGTTGGTTGAAGTTTGGGATAATATGACAAAGATCGGGAGGCACGAGACGATAGAGAGCAAGAATATGGACAGACATAGAAAAGCCAGGTGTTTCGTGGTATAGCATAGGACGAGAGACCATCCCCTGCTTGCCTTTTTACTCACTCTTTAAGGAACCGGCCAGTTTGGGTTGGCTCGATTTATGTTTTTTTTTTTTCTTGATTTATTTATAAATTTCGCTCAACGCATTGCGATATTTTATTTTTATTTTTTTTTTTTCTAATATTTTTATTTATTCACGATATCGAAAAGTTGAATTACCTCAACATCTCGGAAGATTTTGTGAGGAAGGAAATTCTTACTTGAAAAAAAATAATTAATTACTTTTATAGAAAATTAATTATTAAATTGAGTTTATTTTTATCAAAATTAGTACAAAGGTACATAAAAAATATTAAAGATTACATAAAACAAAAATTGAAAAATTTATTCTAAAAGCAAAAATCTGCATAAAATTAATCATCTATATAAAATTAAGCAAAATAAAATTAAGCTAAACATGAGAAAAAATTATTGATATTTAAGAA